CCCCAAAACCCCAAAACCCCAAAACCCCAAAACCCCAAAACCCCAAAACCCCAAAACCCCTTTAAAGAAACCTTCAGCTGAACTTGTTAATAATTTTTGAAAAATTCCATGGAATTGCTCGAGAATAAAAGTTCCCATAGTAGTGAGGATATTACTATGGAAATTAACCATCCCTTTCCATTGAAGCCTGAGTGATCGAAGATGGGCGAGAAGGTCCAGATCTGAAGTAATTTCTATAAAATAAACAGTTATTCTGGAGGCAGAAATGTCCTTTTTGAGTACCAAGTTAGCACAGTTCCAAGACTTACTTGCCATACCAATGAAGAGAAGTCTAGAATGGCCAAGATCGTAAGGAATGTTATGAGGAATTTGAAAGGAAATGATGAAATGGGTCTCTTTCCAGAAAACTACATTTATAGAGAAGGCTTTATCTATTCATTTGAGAAGGTTGATAAGATTAACGAGTACATTGGCGAAGAAATTGAACAAGAGGGGATCTCTTACAAAATCTCTATCAAACTTCATGATGACTTACAATTTGATAATCCAAAAGTTGTGAGGTTCTTTCGTGCTTTCTTTAGCCTTCTGTTTAAATAAATGCAAACTTAGACCCTTCAAAGCAGGAAAGCACTTTGATCCTCAGAATCCACTTATTTTGAAAGGTGTAAATATGTACAGAGCTTATTTTAACACTGTCAAAACTTTGAACCACAATCTCTACTTGAATTTGAATCCTTGTGTGAAGTTCTTCCAGCAGGACACTCTATTAGAAGAAATAAAAAACTGAAGAAGCGAAAAGCAAGTCAGAGGTAAACTTATTGGAAGATCAGTGATGACAATCTATAATCAAAAAGTTTATAGGGTTGATGACATTAACTTCGATTTACACCCAAATGATACCTTCTGTCTCAATTTAAGCGATCAGGACTTGGAAGTGAGCTTTTCAGAATACACCTTCACAAACTACAAGCATGAAGTAACTGACCCTGATCAGCCAATGATAAAGTATCATGACTCCCGGACAGATAAAGATATCTACTTGATCCCAGAATTTTGTGTGCTGACAGGAATAACTGAAGAACAAAAGGCTATGAACTTCAGGGCTATCAAACAAGATCTCTTTGCTAATGCTGAAACTAAGAGTGAACAAGCTAAGGCTTTCTTCCAAACTTTAAAGAGTGATAAGGAGGCTTACCAATTTCTAGCAGAAAAATGGAAGATAGATCTAGAAGAAACTCCGATGGAAACTGATGCATTCCAATGCAGCTCAGGTACGATACTTGGAGGAAAGGATGTACAATGTGATCTTTCTAAAGTTGGTAAAGATTTCTCGAGACAATTTGACGCACCCTTCAAAGCTAGGAAGATCAACTCATGGGCTGTTATTCATGGTAAATTTAGCAGAAGAGAAAAGGAATCGCTTATAAAACAGCTCCAATTGACTGTCAAGAGTGATTTCGAATATATTTGCACCAAGCCCTTAGAAGTCCAACTAAAAGGAGATGACAGAAAGCCAAAATAGCTGGATTGAAGCTCTGAATTGTCTTTATACAGAGAAATACCTTGACGTTATTATTTGCATTGTTCCTGGAAAGAAAGGAAGCTCTCCAGTTTATGAAAGTTTAAAGTATTATCTTCAAACAGAGTGTAATATTCCATCTCAAGTCATTCTTTCTGAGACTATTAAGAAGAATAAAAGAAGTTTGAGGAATATTATGAAGAATATTATGGTGCAAATCTCTGCAAAAATCGGAGATTCACCTTGGGCATTTGAAACTCTCCCTCTGATGGAGCCTCCAACAATGGTCATAGGTATGGATGTATGTCACAAAGTTGGCCAAAACAACAGGTCTGTTTTAAGCTTTGTATCTTCTATATAGACAGAATAGTTGGTTCATACTACAACGACCTTGTTTCCTTAGGAGAAAAACAGGAGATAGCTTTTTCAATAGAAAAACTCTTCAAAGACACAATTAAAGAGTTTCATAGTCTAAATGACTCATATCCTGAGAGAATAATTATTTACAGAGATGCAGTCTCTGAAGGACAATCTGAGAGAACCTTGAAGATCGAGATTCCTCAGTTTGAGAAAGTAATTCAAGCCCTTGTAGAAGAAGAGAAGGTTGAAAAAGAACCTCAAATTCTATTCATGCTCGTCAATAAAAGAGTCGAGCAAAGATTCTCCTGTAAAAATGGAGAAGCTATTAAAAATCCAACTAAAGGATTGGTTGTTGAGAGAGAAATAACTCGACCAGATAGGTTTGAGTTCTATATGATATCTCATGCAGGTCCAATAGGCTTGCAATGCCCTGTTAGGTATGAAGTCATTAAAAATACCATACCAGATTTGAACCCAAAGGATCTTTATGATCTCACTAATATTTTATGCTCTGGATATTTTAATTTCCAGGGATCTGTGAGACTTCCTGCTCCTTTAATGTATGCTAATACGATGTGAAATTACATTTCTAAGATATGTCATAACAAAAAGTTTATTGCTGGAACCCCACAAAGATTCAGAAATCAGCTGTACTATATTTAGAAATGATTATTAATAGGTTCTAATTAAAACATTTCAATTTAATTTGCTAATAATGGGGTTTTGGGGTTTTGGGGTTTTGGGGTTTTGGGG